TATAATTTTTTAAAGTTATTGAGCTTTTAATGAGATAAGCCTTTTATAATTTTCTAAAGTTGTTTAGCCTCTGATGAGAGAAGACTTTTAAAATTTTTCAAAGTTGTTAAGCCTCTGATGAAAAAGGCTTTTTAAAATTTTCAAAGTTATTAAGTCTCTGATGAGATGAACTTTTTAAAATTTTCAAAGTTATTGAGCTTCTATTTAGAATAGCCTTTTATGTCATTCAAAAAGTCTTTGAGTTTCTATTTAAATGAGTTTTCAAAAAAATATTTGTTGAGTCAATTAAGATCTAGATATAAAGGTTGTCTATGTCTTTACATAGTTTCATAGAAAATGCACAAAGAGGACCAACTGTAAATACCCTATTTAGTCTGGTGTTTAATTTGCATCTAGAATAGAATCCTATGATTTTTTTTTGTTATTTTGCTCTATTTATTTGGTTTAGGATTATTTATTCATTTCTACATTTATGGTATTTAAAAAAAAAAAGTTTGGCCAAAACTAAAAGAAAAGAAATAGGTTTAGGGAAGGATGGATTCTAATTAGGGTGATTGAATTGAAGTCCAATTGAAAAAGAATGTACTGGGCTTATTTCAAAAAAAGGATGAGAAAGATGCTTGTATTAAAAAATCTAATGTTGAGTTCGGTTAAGAGAAGTAATGAAGAAATCTTGTTCTAATATGATTAGGATTAAAAACCTACAATTCATATAGAGGGATCAATCATAATCAATCTAAAAAAAAAAAAAAAAGCAAAAAATATATTTGTGAGAATCAGCAAAAAAAAAATAGTACAAATTTTTTTTTTTGTAGTTTTATTTTTTGGGAAAGTTTTTTGGTTAGATTATAAGATCAATTGTGAATTAAGGGGTTTAGATTTAAGGAAACAAAAATAAAATCAAATTTTGGGTTTAGAAATTTGTTTGAATTTTTTGAATTTTTTTTTTTTTGAGTTTTTTCTGGAAATCTTGAAATTTTCAGCAAATCTTAAATTTATCGATCAATTTTTTGAAAGCATTTGAATTTTTTTGATCAGTTTTCTGATAACCTTTAAATTTTTTTATTGACATTCAAACTCTTTTCTAGAGAGAAGTAAGAGGTGGCTAAATAGAGAATGTATAAGGGAAAAGTGAAGAAAAAATGTTTTTTTGGGCCTTATATGCTATATTAAAACGACGCTTTTTTTCCTTTAAAAAATTTTGCCAAACCCACACCTGACTTGATTGAACTCGTACATTGATCCAAGGTACAACTCAACCTCTTTCGCATGAATTCCCTTTTCTATTTTCATTTGATTTTTAGTTTTGATTTTTTAGTTTTTCTTTTTGTTGTTTTTTTTCTTTTATTATGCATGGTTAATTTATGTTGATTAAGCTATTTATTTTAATTTTAGAAATTCTTTTATTTATTTGATTTGTAAAAAATTTAATTTGTAAAACAATTAAAGATAAATAAAAATTTGTCCAATAATGAAATTCTAATAAAGTTATAAGAGTGTAATTTTTTTGAAAATTTCTAAATGAAAAAACTTTTTTCTAAATTCGATCAATGCATTAGAGGATTTAGAAATTAGTCTCGATATAAGAATTTTTATTTATTTCTAATTTGAAGAAATAAAATTGAAATAAATTATGATAATTTAATTACATGCTTACTTATTTGATAAATTATGATTACATGTAGTAAATTTTGTATTTGATTATTCTATTTTATTGAATTGCGTATTCTATTTTGTATATTTAAATTAATTTTAATTTTATAAAATATTTAATAAATCAAACAATAGAGCTTTTTTAAGAAAACGGGTGAATTACTTGAATACTCTTAAGGTGAGAAATATTTTTAGAGGGTCAATCAAGGTGTTAAAAAAAACCTAAAAATATGTCCAATATTTAAATATTAAAAATAGTAAGAATAAATTAGGACTATGTTAATTAAGGTTAAAGAGATAATTTAAGATTAATTGGTATCAATTTATAGACATTATGGGATGCTATAACTTTTTCTATATATAATTGAACTCTCAAATTTAGTTACATTAAAAGATCAGAACTTATTCTTTTTAGAGATTCTTAGTCAAATTTAAAATAATCATAGAAAGAATAGATTTACTTAAACAATCAATCACATCTAGATAAAGACATATTAGTAACAACTCCATGAGTTGTGTCTAATGGACTAATTAAGAGACTTACACGTTATGACAAATACCTATGACGGGTAAAAATTTTGGGTATAGATCACTTTGGAGAAATAATTTGGTAGTTAAATGTGCCATTTTGATGATCAAACGTAATACAGGTGTGTTGATCTAATAATTGGAGACAATCCTCCAAATGATTTAAATTCAAGTATGTGCCATTTCGAAGGCTTTACTTCTAAATCTTTAGATATTGTGAACTATTACCAAGTTGGAAATTTGTATAACCAGTTCATGATGGCTAAAATCCCATGGATGAACCACCTCAACCCATACTTCTGCGTTTTGAGCAATGCTAGTCATATTCATGCTTTACAAACTCATTCCAGACTAGCATCTGCGATGCCCAAAAGAATTGGGACGAGATTGAGTGAATTAGCACCTTTAGCTACTGACCCGTTAGGCAGCTACACCGTTTATAGCCCATGAAACGTCTTTGATAACCCAATTCATCCTCGTTCAAAGCCTAAACAAAGTCAGCTAACAGGCCAGAGAGAGACAACATAATCTTCTTTCAATGTCGAAGTTTTTAAAATCAAACCTGTAATTGACAGCAAACATGAAGACCCCACATTGTCCTCAACAAAATTCACAGAATTCCCTAAAGCAACGAAAAGAGCAGCCAACGTTTCTGAATTTTTTAAAGAGGCGTGAGAGCTTTACACACCAAACCAAACCCACAAACCAAAGAGAAGCACAAACATCCATGGGGGGCTATTGAGTGGAAAAGGGAATTCAATTCAGATAGGGAACAGTAGAATAGAATGATCTTTATCTACCTGAGAAGAAAACAAGGGTAAATATGGCAATGATGATGGTGATGAACATCCTTCTCTTTTTCCCCCCTAAAGACAAAGAAATCAACTTGCGGGTTATCATCATAATTTAGGGCGGAGAATCTTGCAACTTATGACGATTATGCCATTGTATAAAACAAAATGTGAATGCTTGTTGATTCTTGTAGATTACTACACATATGAAAAATATGATTCTGAGGATGTGTATAATAATAATGATGCTATGCTTATGGTAGACAGTGTCAGCTTAAACCTTTTGTTTTCTATCTAAAAAAAATAATAGTCAGCTAAAGCAAGAAAAGGTCTCAAACAGACGTCCCGCTTGCCATAAACATGGGATGGAATTTTAGAAGCTATGAAGTATTACAAAACATAGAAGCAGTTTATGAATATGTGATAGATCATATGAAAAAAGCCATCAGAAGCAGCCACGAAATGTACATTGCTTATGTTATTGAAGTTTCAATTTTTTATTCAAATTTTTTTTCAATTTTTAACTTGATTAAACCTTAAAGCATAATATGATTAGTAACTATATGTACATATTCAAAGCAATACATAGATGAATTGAATACTTCGTTTGATAATGATAACAATGCAACTTTTCATTTTGTTTGCTTAATGGGAAAATAAAGGAGCACCTAGGATACTGTCCAAGGGAACTAAAAAATTATATTTGCATCTTTAAAAGAAAAAGAAGTGCTACTTCAAAGTAATATGCTTAAGGTTACCTTTGTTTCTTTTGGGCTAAGAGTTTCTTCTTTATCATTATGACTTTCACTGTAAAGACCATTCAAAAGAAGGGCTAAACCCATCTCGGCGAGTCAAACCTTTTATGGTAAGACAGTAAGACTTGGACCCTTTGCCCTCAGCTCAAAAAAATGTAGAGTTAGACCTCTTCAAAGGTAGCCGCTAAGGCTTCCAAAGCATTGCATTACATGCGTGGCCACAGCTACACCGCTGCCTTTGCCTTGTAAAAGAACCCAATGTCTGACCTACCAGATCTTTTAAGACCATGTGGGAAAGTATAGCACTCTTTCGTTTCCAACAAGGAGCTACCGTTTCCTCCTTTTCTTTTTGGCTCTTTTCCCCTTTTTTTTTTTCTGTAACAAAATCCCCGTCAAACTACCTCAGTAATAAAAGAGCTTTCATTCTTTTCCCATTCCGCTCGCCTTCCCTTTGGCGCACCCTGGCTTTACATTTCGCAACATATTTTGCATTCTTCAATTTATCTTTGTTTAACATATGCATGTTTGTAGAATATAAGTGGTTTTCTCTGAAATGTACTGATATTTGTAAGCTATGTTTAATTCCCGACATTATCCCAACATTTCAGAAACCTTGAGTTGACTTCAAAAGCCACCTAACAAAATGCAAGAAATATCATCCCCACAATTTCTTCATTGAATTTCTTAGCCTTGCCTCCAATCATGTTTGAACGAGACCTCATTATTTTTTTTTTTTTGGGGGTCAGATAGATGTAGCTAATCCTAAATGCAATGATAAAAAAACAAAAAAAGAAAAATAGAAAAAAGGGTATGGCTAATGGCCAAATGGGCTTGGACTCGGTAATAATGTATCTAAAATAATGCCTCGTCCAAACCATAATTGATTGAAAAATTAAAAGCTAGAAGTAGCAGCAAATAATTATAATGAAGATGCGAAATTTGTCATAAAAAATGGTCTGATTTTCGTTATCCAAAAAATATAGGAATAAAAATGTTCAAGGCAAAAGTATTGTACAAAGTTAAACCTGATACTGGACGGAAGTAAACAAGCAAACAGAAGCGATGAAATTGAAAAGACAAGACAAACAGTGGAAAACTACAGAATCTAGGAATGGTGGTGATGGAGACTGCGCGTGCAGGCTGAGTCCAATGCCTGCAAATCTGAATTTGTAACAGTATATCTGTATTTTCTGTATCGTATGCTAAAACTATAACCATTTTACAGAGTAAATTGCGTCATTTGTAAAGATTTGTCTTTCTCTTTTCTCTTTTCTCTTTCTTAGTCTCGTAAGGCCGGTCACGTGCTCTACCTGTATTTCCACGCAAACAATTCCTTAGGCTAGCAAAAACAACCAAACCTACAAAATAAACACTGTTCAAAAGCAAAGCTCTCTCTCTCTCTGCCTAGTCTCTTTGTAAAAGTGGAAATAAAAAGCTTGGCTCACCCTGAGATGCCCCTGAAACACCATTTTCAATTTCTGTCAACTCACCCATAAAACGGAGTGCAAAGGGTCTCTTTTTTAGAACTAGTTTTTTTTTTTTTTCCCATCACATTCGTCTCTCTCGTATTCTTTCTTCTCTCTCTTTCTAATTACCATGGAAGCTCTCAGTTTTCTCAGATTTTGGAAACCCAGCTATGGTGTTCACAAGGAGAACCCAAACCAACCGTGTTATGGAAACAGAGGCTCCACCCAGATTCCAACGTCTTTGATTGTTTCAGATCATGAGTTGGATGAAGGGGAGGACTCTTTCATCGACTTGGAGCTTCCTTTACATGATTTTGACGACAAGGGAAACGTCTGCAGCTACGGCCGTGAAGAGAACGGTGTCAAAGACAAGAAAAGATTTGATTCCAAGGAAGAGGAAGTGTTCCATGAATCAGCTAAGAATGTTGGTGATAAAGAGCTCGACTTGCGACAGCAAACTCGTTCTCTGTCTCCCAACGATCACTTCTCCAAAAGAAAGATCATCCCCATTGAGTCAAGCTCCAAGCCTCAATCTCCCATAACTCTGTTAAAATCAGCTCCGAAATTTCGAGTCTTTACTCTCAAGAAGTCAAATTCAATGGCAAATACTAGTAATACACATAGCTCAGAGAAAACAGAGTTCTTCGGTATTTCTATGGAGACCCCAAAGCATGAAAAGAAAGGCAGCAGCAAGCATTTCAAAGTGAAATTCAAATTAGAGGAGTCTCCAAACCTCCCAATCTTCACCAGGGAAAATAGTTTGTGGAAAACAAAAGGCAAAACGGAGGACTTGTTATCAGACGATTCCTCAAAGAGATTATCAAAAGATCTGATACAAAAATACTTGAATATAGTCAAGCCATTGTACATAAAAGTCTCAAAAAAGAACAGTCAAAGTGACAAGACAAAAGTCTTAGGTGACTTATCAATGTCATCCCCAGTTGCTTCTCCGGCAACGGTATATTCCATGAAGGAGAAACAGGGGAATCTTTCAACAGGGGTTAGAGGGGTGTGCAAGCACTTGGGAAAGAGCAGATCAGCTTCGGCTGCAGCATCGCCGATTAGTAGGAGAGATGATTCGCTGCTACTGCAACATGATGGGATCCAAAGCGCCATTTTGCATTGCAAAAAATCTTTCAATTCATCAAGAGGTACTAATTATAGTAATTAATCTTGTTTTATGTTAATCATAACCTTTTGGTTTAATTTGGAATTCGATGCTTAGCTTTTTTTTTTCTTTTCTTGTTTTGGCAGCAGAATCTTCTTGGTTGTCGAGATGCACAAGTGATTCTTCACAAGAGAAGTTAAGCAATGCATCTTCTATAGGTATAGTTTCATTGTCTTAAACTAATAATTGAGTCTTAAAATCTTAAATTTACTTATTAAGTTCTGATTGAACATTTTATTTTCCTCAGATTCTTCCATTCTGTCACGAATTACAAGCAATTCTTCGTACGAGAAACTGATGGACCCCGGTAGAATATCCAGCTAAGAAGGAAATGTCTTCAGCACCCGAAAGTTCTAGAAAACGCGGGGAAAAAATGTTGTTAATCAAAGCCTATAGAAAGAAAACATTTGACAGAGACTTTGATTTTCATTATCATGATGTAAAAAAATGAAAGGTAAAAAAAAAAAAAAAGGAGAAAAAACAAGAATTTAGAGAGGGTAGGATTGTTGTTTGATTGTTAGCTATGATGAGCAGTGAGTAGCGTAGGTTCACTTGTAAAGGTCATGGGTCATCATGAAGAGACTGAAAGTAACTCTATAGTTGGATTTTTTTGGTTGTGTGACTGTGTATGGTCTTGCATTTCTGCTGTTAAGCCATTATGTTATCTTTGAAAGGTGATCTGTTCATATCAAAGATGTGATCATTTCTGGATTTGAAGGACCTGAAATGACTAAACAGTTTTCTCCGCTTTGTTCTTTCTTTTCATTTTCTGGGGTGAGAATTTGAGACTATGCTTTTTCCAGGACAACTGGTAGTTTCTGATGGGAAAGGGGAGAAGTTGGACAGGAACGGAATGGGAATATTTACTAATGTAGGGGTCACTGCGTTCTTACAATACATAAATAATTTTACTTCAAATCTTCCGTATATATATTTTTTTGTAAGAAAAATTTGAAGTAGATAGATTATTTTATCTTTTAGATTAAAAAAAGATGTGTCATATTTGATAGATTAAAATAGATAATTATAAATCATGTATTCAAGATTATCTCAATAAATGATTATCAATAGGATTCAAACTCAAAATTTTTTCATTAAGAGAAATGATTTTAACCGATTGAACCAACGACAGGATTCGAACTCAAAATTTTTTCATCGAGAAAAATAATTTTAACTGATTAAATCAATCACTTATTGGTAAATCTTTCATATTTTAACAACATCAATTCACACCCATGAAATTTTTATAGAAAACCAAACCAAATAAGTGAATTGACTAATGCAAGTTTGAACAGGAAACCAAAGCCATATGTATTTTTTAATCTTGGTTCTTTGTTTAAAACACTTTTAAAAAAAAAATGATCATATAATGATTAGTGATGGCTACGGAGAAGAAAGCTTTTATTCGAATTCGATTCGATTATATATATATAAAATTTAAATTCAATTCAATTCAATGATATTTTTATTTTTTTATATTTAAATTTGATCTAATTTAATATTATATAAAATTATATATGATGTAATCTAAAATTAATAAAATATTATTTTTTAATATAATTATATATAATTAAAAAATAATTTTTATATATATCAAGTTAAATAAGATTAGATTTATCTAAAACTCAATTTTAACATGATCTGATTTCATATTTATTTTTTAAAAAATTAATTAATTTTAAAAAATCAAATCAAATCAATTCGTGGGATTCAGACTAAATTGCTTTCTCTAATAATGATACATGTGCAGTTTCATCCTGCTTTTAGAAAGCACTTTTGAACAGTAAGACGGGTTAAAATTCTAATTGCATTTCATTCAAAGGAAAGGTAAACAGATGCTCTGAGTCTCTCTCTGGCTAGCCATCCTACATGCAGATGATATGTTGAAAAATATTCAATCTGCCTACCTGTTGCCGCAGCCAGGAAACTGCCAATAAAGTTCCCGTGACAAGTATCTCTCATTATTTATTGTTGTACCATTGAAATTGAAAGTTTTATACCTCTGTCCACTGTATCCATGGTCTATTCAGATCTTTAACCTCAGAAAGTATGCCATGGTGATCGTACCCTGGACAATTGTTTCCTACAAGTTCCTTGTCTACATTCTGAATTTTCTTATCCAACCTTCACAGTACAACTGGGGTCTCAAGAATCATTCATTTCTTATCTATGAGTCAAATTGTCCTTTTTGTAGTTGGGAGACCTACCTATTTCCTCTCCTCTCATACTTGTGTTTCCAGTAAAAGTGGTCGCCAGATTCAATTCTTCATGGGATAATTTGTTCTACACTTTCAATATCGTATCCCTGAATATAAAATCCCACAATCAATGAACATCTATAGGCTTATATCCAGAAAACGGAAAAGCCGTGAAACTCTACTTGTTGACAAGGAAAGGAGACCCATAAAATATAAAAAATCAATCCTTCTCCGTACTGCTATAGTTCATTCAGTATTGGATTGATCCGTATTATATTTATGAGCTCAAGTTATCTCCAATTTAACAAATAGGAGATTTCTTTTATCTTCATTTTTAATACTCCTTTTAGAGACAACATACCTATCACATTTCATGAATTTCACATGTGGGCATGCAATATAAATTTCGTATTGTAAACAAAATATATTTATCACAAAAAGGTTAACGAATAGGTTAATACCTGCTTTGAGAACACGTTAAATGTTTAAATAAACATTTAATATAAAAATCAAATGGTAATATGTAAACTTTTCACGAAAGAGCTACAGTAAACACCATTTGCATTTTCTTTTTTTATTTTTCTTTGTTTCTTTATTTTTCCTTCTTTTTTCTTTTTCCTTCTTCTTCTTTCCTTATTCAATTTAATTTGACAAAAATATAAGTGCATTAGATGCACTCTCCCTAAAGTCCAAAATCATCACTATTATAGCTCCGTGGGCAAAAGCTCCTGTCATGATGAATCCTGCGATGTATTGGTGATGGGTATATAATGCAGCTTGAGTAGTAAAGTCTTGTGCTAGGAACGCATAAGCAGGTAAAGAGTACATGTGTTGAGCTACCAAGGACGTAATAACCCCTAAAGAGGCTAGAGCAAGGCCTAATTGAAAATGAATCGAATTATTGATTGTGTCATAAAGACCCTTATGCCCACGCCCCAATCGTCCTCCCGGAGGAATATGTGCGGTAATCGCCAGACACCCTGCCTAACTTGGCAGCGTAAATTTCGACCACTAAAATTTCACAGCTCAGTTGAAAAGCTGGAATTTGAATCCCAAAAAAAATATTGGATTTGAATCCCAAAAAGCTCTATAAATAGAGCTTATTTTTTTAAAAAGGGAGAAGAGATAAAAAAAAAAAAAAAAACCCAAAATCTTACAAAAAAAAAAGGTTGCTAGATTCAAGAAAAAAAACTTTCTATCAAACAAAAAAATTCAAAACAAACTAAACACATACAAACGTAGAAACAACAGCCTCTGGAAACGAGGACCACAGTGCCAAACATAAAAAAAAAAAAAACAAACAAACACAGACACACATCAAAAAAAAATTTTGACTGAACCTTCCAAGCCATATTTGCTCCGTTTGAAATCCCTTTTCACAAAAGCAAGCTCAAATTTGGACTTTGGAGATTGAGAGGAATATTTTGGTTTTTTTTTAGATTTTTCGATCGTCGTTGATCAGTGACTGACGGTGGCGACGATGGTGATGATGACCGATCGGTCCCTTTGGATTTTGTCTAAAAAGGGAGAAGGGTGAGGTTTTTTTTTTTTTGAGAAAAGAAAAAAGTGATCAAAAAAAATTTGGGGCCTTTTATATAAACTGCCAGAGCCAAAATGACGTCGTTTCAATAAAGACCAAAATGACGTCGTTTTAGCACTTGAAGATCTGCGCGTCAACTTATGACCCGACTCAGAGTCCGCGCACCCGACCCGATGACCCGTCCATCCCTTAACCTCTGACCAGTTCAATTGAATCGACCCAGACCGAACCACTGATGCCAGATCAAACCATTGGACCAGACCGCGCGTTGATCGAATGGTTGACAGGTCTGATTCAGGTAAAAAATATTTTTTTTGAAATTTTAAATTTTTTATATGTTATTTTCATAATATTTATGCATATTAAATTATTTGTATTTGTTAGAATAAATTTCGTTAAAATTTTTATAATTTTGATAATTTAAAAGTAAACTAAAAAAATAAAAATCAAATAAAAACAAACCTTAAATAATTTTAAAAAATTAATAAAAAAATGTAAAAAAAAAAGAAAATTTTTTATCCAATGATAAGATTCAAAGGTACTCCAAGTAGTGATACCTATGAAATCTCTAAATAAGAAGATTTTTCTAAATATTATCGGTGTATTTGAGTATTTATAAAAAAATTTTAATACAATAAAAAATTTTTTTTATAAAAATAAAAAAATAAAAAATTAACTAATTTATTAAAAATAATTAAAAATAATAATAATATAACTAAGGAAAAAGAAAATTTTATCAAATGATGGGATTCTAAAAGTATTTCGAATAGTGACGCCTTATGAAATCCCTATGTGAGAAGATTTTTTTAAAATATTACCAGTGTATTGAAATATTTATAGAAAAATTTCAATATAATAAAAATTTCTTTTTTTTTCAAAAATTTAAATTAAAAATAAAAAATCAAATAAAACAATTAATAAAATTTCTAAAAAAGAAAATAAAATGTGTGCTTCAACATATTAGTATTTTACATTGCATGCATAATAAAATTTTTACGAAAAGTAAATTTGAGCCTTCGAGGATGGGATTCTAAGGTATTCTGAGAAGTGATGCCTAAGAAATCTCTAGGTGAGAAAGAGTTCTTCTAATGTTACCAACGTATTAGAACATTTTAAGAATTATTTCAATAAAATGGTTCAAATTCATTTTTCTCAAACAAAATTTAAACAATAAATAAAAAAAAAAAACAATTCCTAATAAATGAAAAATCAAAGAAATTATTTTTAAACACCGAAAATAAGACTATTTTTATTAAAATCAATGGATAACACATAGTTAATTGGTACCATTTTAAACGGGCGCTATGGGGGTGCTAATTATTTCTCACACGTAATCGACTCCCGAACCCAGACTGTTTCGCAGACCATAAAATTATTTTTTTAATAAACTTTAATCAAGTTTAAAATCTAATTAAAAGGATAAATTTTAACATGTGGCCAATCACACCTAGCCAAAAAAGATTGATGGCGACTCCATATTTTTTTTTATTAATTTCCAAATTCATCGGACGGACACAAAACCGTTATGACAACTTGATAACTCCACTGGGGACGCCTTTTATTTTCGAGAGTCAGGCCAAAATTAACTATGTGTTATCCTCAATTTTTTATTTAAACAGTCTTAATCGGTTTCTTATATTTATATTTTTCATTTTTAATAAAAAAAGTAAAAAAAAAAATAAATCAAAAAAAAAAAGAAAAAAATTCACCCACGTTTCTTTTACTATGCCTCTTATGCTTTATTTTTCTGTATATATTACTCTCAATAAATTAGGATATATTTGCACATACAATAACACGATGCATCTTATGCATAAGCTTTTTACCCAAGCTCTATCCCTTATAAAAGGAAGTAAAGTACCATGCCTTCGTGAGGTGATAATTTTCGTAATGACAAGCGAAATACTTCCACTCAAATTGAACTCTTTTTGTTCGTAGCCTGTAATGGTTAAGGATCGAGATGCCTCACTAGTTCAGCGTGGACGACAATGAGGAACAATTTAGGAACCTTTAGACACGTATCAATCTAAACTCAGCATTTAATAAGCTTAAGAAACCAGCCTTAGATAGAGCCTTATCCACCTTTTTGTAGAAAATACCTAAGAATAAAAGTTGTGTGTAATACAAAATAAAACAAAAAAAAATC